CACAGCAGACTAGAGCCCGGGCACAGGAAGTACACAGCAGATTAGAGCCCGGGCACAGGAAGTACACAGCAGACTAGAGCCCGGGCACAGGAAGTACACAGCAGACTAGAGCCCGGGCACAGGAAGTACACAGCAGACTAGAGCCCGGGCACAGGAAGTACACAGCAGATTAGAGCCCGGGCACAGGAAGTACACAGCAGACTAGAGCCCGGGCACAGGAAGTACACAGCAGACTAGAGCCCAGGCACAGGAAGTACACAGCAGACTAGAGCCCGGGCACAGGAAGTACACAGCAGACTAGAGCCCAGGCACAGGAAGTGCACAGCTATTCATCGGAATTAATTCAAGAGAAAAAGGTGGATTTTTGAGGGTACTACAGGGGGCAGAATTCACATTTCTAGACGTTTCCTGTAATTTGGGGATCCTCCAGGCCGGGCGTCTCGTTATTTAATATAATTCAGTAAAACTCTTAACGGTCAATCAGGCCGAGCGTCCGCGGAATCTGCAGCGCCTGCCAAGAATGTGGAACGCGATATGTTGGGAACGCATTGTCACACGAGACCTGTAAACAGAGACGGGTGCACACCTTGGCGTACCGCGGGGCGGAGGGGGGCAATTATCACGTGTCGCAATCACAAAACATTTCCTGACTCATTTAAAAAGGAGGACTCTGGGGGGGGAGGAGCTTGGGAACATCGAGGTAAACCGAGACCAGCCTACCAATGTAATTCCAGGCGCGGCCTTTCCCTGATTAGAAACTTCCTGACACGACGGCCGGAAGTAGACTAAAAGGACAGAACAGGTATATACTGTATACACCCCTCGGAGCTGACACTAGGACATTCGGCTCCCTGATAGGTCACCGGAGGAAGCGGTGATGTGCACACGCTGGTTGCCATGGTTACTGACTCAGCAGCGCCGCCGTTCATGCCCTTACCCTGATGGGGATGATGTGACTGGGGCAGTGCACCACCGGCAGCCCGGCGTCCATCAGCATCTGCCTCAGGAGCTTCACGTTGCGCTGGTGTTGGCGCCGCAGGGCCTGCCCCTCCTCGCTCTTCAGGACCCGCACGGACGCCATGGCGCCGGACAGCAGCATGGGCGGCAGGGACGTGGTGAAGATGAAGCCGGCGGCGTAGGAGCGGACGGTGTCGATCAGGGCGCTGGTGCTGGCGACGTACCCGCCCACGCAACCGAACGCTTTTCCTGCCGGAGGAAGAAACGTAACAAAAATGTTACAAATGGAGATTTATCCAAAAATCAATACAAAGTAACAACAAATGGTTAAAGGGGACCTGTCAGTGAGGTCTTCCTAGATACATTCCGGACCATAAACAGCAGCCGCACGAGTCCTTTATAGCTGCTGCCATTCACTATACTTGTAGCAAGCTGTCTCCTGTGGTGCAACTCGCATCTCCACAATGTAACCCTTTGAAGCTGCAGCAGCTATCTTGGCCCCGCCTCCACTTCCTGTCTGATCGACTTCAGTCATCGTCTATTCCCTCCCCCCATCCATACAGCCTCTCACAGCTATTAGCTTTCGCTGCCATTCACTATTCAATCACTCAGACTCCCCTCCCCCAGTCATCAGTCTGCTGCCGGCAGGAGGAAGCATTTCCCCAGTCTCCCTTCCCCCCGCGTGATCAGTCTGCTGCAGGCAGGCGGAGACATTTCCCCAGTCTCCCCTCCCCCCGATGATCAGTCTGCTGCAGGCAGGAGGAAGCATTTCCCCAGTCTCCCCTCCCCCCGCGATCAGTCTGCTGCAGGTAGGCGGAGCCATTTCCTCAGTCTCCCCTCCCCCCGCGATCAGTCTGCTGCAGGTAGGCGGAGCCATTTCCTCAGTCTCCAGTTGCTGGCTCCGTTTAGGACATTTAAACATCAGAATTGAATGCTGTACAATAGGCGCACGTACCGAGGGTTCCGGAAACGATGTCCATCTTGTGCATGACTCCGTCGCGGTCACCTATTCCTCCTCCCCGGGCGCCGTACAGCCCGACAGCGTGAACTTCATCGACAAAGGTTATCGCTCCGAATTCGTGAGCCACATCGCACATCTCCTCCAGGGGGCATACGGCACCTGGACATACAATGGGCGCGGCATTAACAAACATGTCAAAAGAGCACAACAAAGGGGGGGGTGTTCTGTATATGGCTGACAACACTGGGTATGGCTGACAACACTGCTTGAGATTTCAGTGGGGCAGAGGCGGCGTTGTCAGCTCGGTGGATTTCTGGCAGACAGACACAAGTCTCACTCACCATCCATGGAGTGGACGGTCTCGAAGGCGACAATCTTCGGGATGGACGGGTCGGAGTTCTTCAGCAGCTCCCGGAGATGGGCCACGTCGTTGTGCCGGAAGATGTACTTGGGCACCCTGCTGTTCCGGATGCCCTGAATCATGGAGGCGTGGTTCCCGGAGTCGGAGTAGATCTCGCAGCCTGCGGGAGAACAAATTCATTTCAGGACATTTCCCACAATTGATGTTTTCTTTCATAGAACACTGGAAGCCGAGCGCGGCGACATTCACAGGAGACTGCACAGCCCTGGACACCAACAATGTGCTATATACATCCTCCCCAGGACTGTGCGTCCAACCGGCGGCCACACGCAGGTCATGTGACCGCCTACCTACCCATGCAGGGACACCAGAGCGAGATGCCTATTGGCCAAGAACAGACCATAGGTCATGTGACTGCCTACCTACCCATGCAGGGACACCAGAGCGAGATGCCTATTGGCCAAGAACAGACCATAGGTCATGTGACTGCCTACCTACCCATGCAGGGACACCAGGGTGAGCTCCCTATGAGCCAAGGACAGACCATAGGTCATGTGACTGCCTTCCTATGCATGCAAGGACACCAGAGCGAGATCCCTATGAGCCAAGGACAGACCATAGGTCATGTGACTGCCTACCTACCAATGTAGGGACACCAGAGCGAGATCCCTATGAGCCAAGGACAGACCATAGGTCATGTGACTGCCTTCCTATGCATGCAAGGACACCAGAGCGAGATCCCTATGAGCCAAGGACAGACCATAGGTCATGTGACTGCCTTCCTATGCATGCAAGGACACCAGAGCGAGATCCCTATGAGCCAAAGACAGACCATACGTGACTGCCTACTCTCTAACTAACTCTCCCCCCATCATATATATAACCCTCCCGCCATCATATATAGAGCCCTCCCGCCATCATATATAGAGCCCTCCCGCCATCATAGAAGAGCGTGGAGTCGTTGGCCACGAAGCAGGAGGAGAAGAGCAAGGCCGCGTCTTTGCCGTGGAGATCCGCCAATTCGTGTTCCAATTCCACATGGAATTTACTGGTCCCGGAGATGTTTCGGGTCCCTCCGGCGCCGGCGCCATGATGTTTCAGCGTATCCCTATGGAGATAAACAAAAACAGACATTTTCAGGACGTGGCTCGGATACTCCGAGAGCAAAACATGGAGCCCGATCCCAGACATGAGGGACGAGGCCGACGTGGAGCTTGTGGCTCAGGAGGGTCACTGGGTCCCGGAGTGGACCTGGATGTGGCACGTGGACATTGCTGATAAAAGCCACCATTTATGGAGCTTCATGTTTATTAATATTTATTAAATGTATCTTTTA